AAACTCATTTTCGTATTAAGCACAACTTCTCTCTAAAACGACCACACGAAAGAAAGTAAAAGAATAGCGATAACTTTCAACGTTCCCTACTCCCGAACTACCGAGCTTCAACACAAAATGGCTCGCATTACCTGCGCTTTTCGCGGCGTCACCCTTGGTCACTCCGATCACTTCACCTCGCAGTCACTTGAATGTGAATGTGAATGTTTCAGTTACTTCGGCCCATCAACTAAAAGTCAAGTATTGGCGCAGAAAAAAAACCCTGGATCGTAAGAAATCAATTAAAACAATGATCAAAATCAACATAATAAATTACTGGAAAAATTGTCATGTGGTATTTACCGTAGTTAAATGTTGTTTACGAAAACTGAGGTGCTTCTTCCAAGAGTGCTTACTACACTAGAGTAGTCTATCCAGAGGGAATGCCATAGTCTCGAGACGTATGTACAGATTTATTTATCAATTTCAACCTTGGCACCACATTTTCTTTTTTAAAAAAGTGCTATTACGGTTATGAAGTTTTGAAGTTTTTCCGTTCCGAAAAGAAAAGGCATTGGACTTAGTTGCGTGCAGTTGCGTGGTGAGACTGATGCCACCAGATTCCGTACAGGACTTTGTCGCACTCTCTCGCACTCATTCAAAATACTAAGATGTGCGAGAGAGAAAGACAACAGCCTGCAGTGCGCATGCGCGCTGCGTACAGCTGCTGCGGCGAGCATCCGGCGACCGTGCCCGCGCTCGTTGAACTACGACGGCGGACGCTTCGACGCGAATCTGTCGTTCTCCCGTTGAAGCTCGACGATTGGGCTCCGCTGGGCACGGGCGTCGAAGCGAAACGATAGTCTGTCGAGCTTCGACGGAAAGTTTGACGGGGCGCGGTCGTCGCTCAACGGCAAGCATAAGTTTCGCGTCGAACAGGCGATCCCCGTCGAAGATACGACGGGAGGTGTCGAAAAAATTCTGAGCGTGTATGGATCTGTAGGTGTGAACTTGCAAGTATGCATCTGCAGATGTGTACTCGGCCAAGTATGCATCTGTAGGTGTGTATCGGCAAGTATGCATCTGTAGATGCATACTGAGTACACACTTCAGTTTGTAGTGTGCAGCGGGTCTTCCGCCCTGACGCCTTGCGCATCAACCCCAGCACGGCATCGGCGTGCTCACGGATGCCTTCGTTTGGGTTGACGGCGCACAGTGGTTTAAAATCCCCTTTTAGGGGGAATAAGTCCTAGCGAGCGTTCCGTGCGACCAAACGCTACCAAAAATTTAACCACATCATCTGTAGGCACTAGAGAAAGGTCTGTCCAAAGGAAAAAGCAATCCGACAAAAATTGGATTTTTGGCACAGAAAAAAAAAAAAAACAAAAAACGACAAAACAAAAAAAATTCAAAACAAACTTTTTTTTTCAAAAAAAAAAAAAATATTTTTTTTTTTTTCGCTGCGTAAGCCTATTTCATCAAAAAACAATTACTTTGAATAAAATATGGGGATGGCTCAACTCTACCATGCACGTGTAGTGTAGGGCACTATAAGTGAGAAGGACGGGTAAAGGACGATAGTGAGTAGAGGTTCACTTGGTTTATTGAGGGGTCCGCACAGCTCGGGACTAGGCCACCGACTGTTGGCCAGCTCTGAGGAGCGGTCCAATTTATAGTTTGGGCAACAGTGACACCTTGCTAGGTGGGTGCTTTCAGAAAGCGAGACAATAGTGGAACCTTGGCCAAGGAAGGGGAGTCCATACCAGAGTCAGGAAGAAGAATAGAAATCAGAACTGACACTTGTTGCTTTTCACTTTGTACTGACTGTAAATCGCTACACCACTCCCCCTTAAAAAGAAATTCAAAATTACTTGTTGCCTCAAACTTTACAATTCGTTTAGCTCAAATCTTCCCACGTTGAACCTGTCAATTACTATCACACCTAGGCCAACTCAGGGCAAGGCTGTCCAGACCTTCCCTGACACGCCGTCAGTGATCAAAATTAATTTAAAATAAAATGTAGCATTGCTGGTCCTCTAGATAGAGTGGCTATGTCAGCGACGCTCATGGCACGTCCAAAGAACTCGTTAAGGACGCCGTCCTGAGGTGCAACTGTCGCACCTGACCAGCAATAAGAAATTGATTAGTCTGCTTCTGCTTCTGAAGGTTTCTGGGTCTTGGATATGGTCGTTCAGTATCACTTGAAGCTCTGGGTCTCGGAGACTGAGGTTATAATTTCTTTGAAGCTCTAGGAGGTGTTGTCGCGGCTGTCGCTGGAAGTTCTGGGATGTGTTGCAGTTCTCGTAGTTTTCTCCTGGAAACACACAAAACACTCTGCACAGTATTTTTGCCACCTATTCCCCCCTAACTAAAAGAGTGGGGTGTTTTGCCTTGGTGTTTCCTAATCCCTGACTAGCTAGCTAAAATCCTATCTAAAAACACCATTGAAATCTAAGAAACCTATGAATTGCACTTCAGCTCGAATACTTAACTTTGAACAAGACAGGGTACGGCTTTCCATGGCACAGCAGATGACTGAAGGCTGCAACTGGTGTGAAGTTCTGGTAGTCATCTTACTGGCCTGAAAGTCTTGTTGCAAAACTCTTGACCTGACAATGTCTTCTGCTTGACAACTTGGATTTTCTCAATGTCTGACTTCTGAACTTGTACTCATTGACTGTACTCACTCCATGAACTGACTGTAGCAAAATGTATCAAATTTTTAAGTGATAAAATTTTCAAGACTGACTTTAAAAACTGGTGGTGAGTACTTCCACTTTTTCATTTAGTTTTGAACTTTTGACTCGAACACTTCAGTGACTAACTTGACTTTTGTTTTCCAGTACACCTTTTGACTCCAGTTGGACTAGTGGAAATAACCTGTCTTTCACATATAAACAGAGAGAACCTAGTGCTCACCCTGCAGCATAAAACGTTTTCATGTCTTGTTAATTTAGTGCCAGTGTTTCCTAGAGTAATTGAGTCGTGAAACACAAAAGCGCGGTAAGGGACTTGACCCACAAACGGGCTTACTTTGTGTTTTGTTTGTGTAGAAAGCACTCAACGCGGCCAAAAGGCGGGTTACGAGTGTTTCTCTAAAATTTGTTTCAAGCATTTGACTTTTGTTGGGAGAGTCCAAAAGGGGTACCAGGAACAAAAGGGTTGTCAACAGTTACTATTTTATATTTCAAAATTTTCAATTAGATGTTTAAAATTCAAAAGCATTAAACCAGTTCAGTTCAATATAGAAGTTACTGCGTTTGGTACAGAATTGGGTTTCAGGCAAACTTTTCAACATGACACAAGGAAAACAAGACATTCATTTACTTTTAAAGGCACACATGACACCTGACTGGACCGGTACATATGAAAAGGTAAGTTTTACAATATTATTCAGCTTTACATTGAGTAAAAAGACCCGTTTTAACTCTATCACTCCTCTGCAGATTTGTAACACTCTGAGGCTGGATCACATCTCTTTCTCTTTGCTTCACTTCAATACTTTTTGGCCATTCCTTGATCGTTTCTGGATGCAGGACTTTCACTCTCTTTGCTTGTCCTCATCCTCCTTCATGGTGACGCTCACAGAAACCTGTCAGACAACTACTACGCAATGAAGTACCAGGATGTGGACAGTATCCGTGGCATTCTTTTTGGTGTATCGTCATCCCAGGCTTCTCATGGCTCATCCATGCGCTGGTTTCCACCAGCTCATCAGCCTTTCACTTTTTGTCGACCAGGTTTGTCAACTTTTCACCATCTTTCACTTTTCATCAACTTTTGGTTCACTTTTCATCATTTCTTTGCACTGCTCTCTGTCAGCAAACCCTCAGTTTCTGACCTCCAATGCAACGGGACTTTTTATTCTGGACCAGGCTTAACACATCTGTCCTTTTACAAACTCTATAAACTTTTTCTTTACCGTCAATTACTCTTCAAATTTTATTCATCGGTCCAGACTGGTTCCTGTGTGTTGTAATAATTCTGTTAGCTTCTTTTGTGTCTAATCATTATGTTGTTTCTCTCTTTTCTTTCCAGACTAATAGTCGTCTTCTCCTTCATACTCATATTCTTCTTCGTCTTCTTCTGCTTCCGCCAGCTTCACCCTTTTGCTGGGGCTTTCTTTTGGAGCCAAGAGCAAGCCCCTGTTGAGGTTCTTCACCGCATCAGCCAGCGTGTTGCAGGAGGCAAAGGCAAGGCATTCTGCTGCATGCCTGTCATGAAGACCTTTCACAAAGGCCGTTACTAGAGCCTCTTGGAGATCTGCCTCAGCGTAAGAAGTCATGTATTCTCTGCCCACTCTCTCCAGTTCACGGGCGAAGTCTTGCGTTGTTTGTTCTGGTTTTTGCACCACACTGGTGTAAATGCCATCAGGATTTCAATCAGAAAAATTCAATCAGAAATTTCCCTGATTGGAATATCCTGATATATTTTCGCGCACCTCTGATTGGATTTTCCTGATTGGTTTTTCCTGATTGATTTTCTGATTGGATTTCCCTGACTGGTTGTTTCCTGATTGGTTTGTCCTGAATGGCTGTTTCCTGATTGGTTAATGCTGACTAGTTGTATTCTGATTGGTTTGTCCTGACTTGTTACCTGAAGTCATTCCCGGAGAGGTGTCTCCAATATGCTGTGTTCCTAATGGGCTTTACCTTTTTTGAGGTTAACCTATGCTAGGCTGCAGATTCAAACTGTACCCAGGGATAAGTGCGCTGGGCCTCGGGCGACGCCGGCCGGTCTGTCCTGCGGGGCGGCATATGCCCATGCCCAGGCTGGCAGCCTGGACCCGGGCGATGAGCGCCTGTGGGTAGGCAACCCCTTGTGTAGGGGAGTCCTTACGGTTGCCTACCGGGCCGGCGGCCGTGGTTGATTCCTCCCCTCTTGCTAGTGTGAACAGAATTTTAAACAAGAGGTGGAAAAGTCCTACAGACTTGTGAAATAAAGACATGAGGCAATAAAAATGTTACAAACTTGAGTTTAATGTTAAAGGTGCCACAACTTAAGTAAATTAGAGCGGTGGAAACATCTTTACAGACTTAAGAAATAAAAAAAATAGAACTAGGCATACAAACTTGAGTTTATGCCAAAAACTTAAGTAATACATAATTGCATACGTAAAGTAATTGCAATTTACTATTAAAAATAATAGAAGTGAAACAAATTGACATTGGTAAACAAAAAGAACACAAAATTGTGATGTCACACATTTAAAAAAAAAAATACAGGATTGGAATTGTCCATAGCACTAGAACATCAATCACTCGTCCCTTCTCTGTAATCAATTTACACAAAGGGCATTAATAAAACTAAAAATAAACTACATACACAACCCAATGGAATTATTTGATTACCTTAGCTTGAGAACCATCCTGGGAAAACTTGTCCCCAATTGCCTTTCTGCAGGCCTTCAGATTGGCGGCCATCCCTGTCCCTTCCCTGTCTCCTTGATTAAGTAAGTGGGCCTTAACAATACCTGAAAAGTGGAAAAAACCTTTACAAGCCCATAGCCTACAGAGATGTTTACACGCACAGACAACTATATATACGATTCACCTACCCAGGCATGTGTTAACTTTACATGGGGTTGCTGCTTTTTTGGCAGGGGCATCTGGAAATCTATTGTTTTTACCACCAGTAAGCGACCGCCTTTGCCTTTGAGGCAAACTCCAAGTCAACGCTGCGAGCTCCTTGGAAAGTTTGGATATATCTCCCTTACTATCTTTCAAAATTCTCTCAAGCGGTTCCTTTTCAATTTTTATGCCTGAGCCGAAATCAACCTAGGAAATAAAAGAAGTACAAAAGTTATTACTAAAACAACCCTCAAATAATGGTGAAAAATAAGGACAAATCAAAGCAAAGCAGTTAGGATGTGACTAAATAGTTACACATACATAGCCTTGACCATCAGCCTGGAGCTCGTGAGTTCCTTTCAGGTGCTTCAGCACCAAGTCACTCACTGCTAGGACGACATCGTTGGTCATATCATCATGGTCTGCAATGTACACAAGAATCATCATATGAAATACAAACAATACATTAAGACAAATGTACTAACAGGCTATTTAAACGATACTTACATTTCTTTTTTTTGGGCTTTTTCTGGCTGCTGGAATCGTTGCAAGAGCTTGAGGCAGGGGATTCCTTGCAAGCGGCATCCAATTGACTGGGTTTCTGTGGGCTAGAATATTCACTTCTAGAACCTAGAAGAAAGAGATGGCTGAATAAAATCAACTCAACTAACACATAAGATGAATAAAAAAGCAGTTATAGTTCTGACAAACTTTTAGTGCTTGAAGCTGGTGATTTTTTTGGTGCAGAGTCATCCGAAAACTTGGGTTCCTTTGGGCTTGAATAATCTCCAACATGCTCTGGTAAACAGATTGCATAATAGAGTCAACTCAACAAACACATCAGGTAGATAAAAAAATGTATTTATGACTTACTTTGAGTGCTTGAGGGAGGTGACTTGAAAGGAGAGTATTTTGGGGTTGCACCATCTTCCCTATCGAAGAAATTAGAACTCATTTCCTTGGTAGGAGTAGAGAAGTGCAAGTGTTTTCTGCCCTTTACCGCTGAATTTTCTTTGGAAGAATGATGAGTTTTGGTCTCAGCCGAGGAGCGTTTTGAACTTCTGACTCTCTCGGACTTGTCACTCCTTCCTTGCCTGAGATCTGGAAAAGACAACAAATCGTATTTAAAAGTGAAAACCAGAAAAAGGAGTAGCTAACAAAAAAGTAGATTCATAACTTTAGAACTTACCAAACTTAGAAGAGAGCAGGTCCTGCAAGTTAAGGTTTTTCTGCTGCAGAGACTCGATTTGCTTCATTTGAGCCTCTAATTTTTCTTCTAGTTCTCCCTGCTTCTTACGATGAGCAACGCGAAGATTGTTGGCAAGTGTCAAGTCTCTTTTAGTTTGAGAAAGGATCTTTTTAGTTTCACTCAATTCCTCCTCCAATTTCTCCTTCTCTGACGACAACCTCGCAACTTCATCCTCACCACTTCCACTATCACTTGCGGAATCTGACTCTTCACTAGATGATGAAGCGGAAGACATATCTTCAATACTTGAATTGAGTTTCACTGTCTGATCCAATTCATCCTGGAAAATAAAATAATAATGAAACCATGCCAAACTTTCCTTGACAGTGTTATGATTTGCCAACTTTACCTCTGAAAGCGGCTCAGCAGCATCCTTCTCTGGTTTGATTTCTTGGCCATCTCCACCACAATCATTCTCAACCTAAGAGCACGAGAGGCAAAGATAAAATATTAAACCAGACCAATGAAAACTTAGGGTATAACATTGAAACAAAGTCAGCACTCCCAATGGCAATAAATTCCAACATTTAAAACTAAAGTTGCTACTTGCCTTGGTGTTCACTTCTACTTCCGTCCCAGGAGGGTTCTCTTGAGGATTTGGAGAGCCTTGAGTTTCGGAAGGAGAATTCACCTCTGAATTCGAAGTGTCTGACTTGTCATCAACTACATCTCCCTTCTGTAAATAATTTTAAAAAAAATTAATGTAAAAGTTACTGAAATATTCTCTCATTACAGTAGTGACTAGCACTTTACCTGAAGCAATGGGTTTGTAGACACTGCCAAGTTGCATTGAGCTGAAGTGCGCTCCAATGCAGTTTGGCTCAATTTCAACCTCTTTTTTTTAATGGAAGCACCACTTTCACTGTCCTAAAATAATAGAATTAAAGCAGCTATGATATAGTACAGAACTGGATTCAATTTTATCAGCTTCAAATTACCTTTGGGCCCGAAGACAGTCTCTTCTTTGGGTTTGATTTCTTATCATTGCCGGTAGACTTTGATCTAGAACTGGACATTGGCTTGGACTTGAAGTCGGGGTATGAGTTTGACGGAGGCCTCTCAGACATCGAAACAGAATTGCTGCTTTCCTCGTTCATAGACTCAGACTTACGGATATCTCTGCGCTTCTGTAAATAAAATAAAAGATATGTTGTTAGGCTATTGGAAAACAATTATATGGATGATAATGTACTCCTCATGGGAACTTACATGGCGAGTAGGTTTGCTATCAGAGGATGAAGAAGGCAAAGAAAGGACACCTGGGTATAGCTTAATCCCCAACTCAGCTGCTTTAGCCTCAGCAGTTTTAACACTTCCTATAAAACAAACGGAACGATACACATGTTTCAAACCCCTTGAAACAGAATGGAGAAAGCCGCAACACCAAGGAGGCATCACATGGAAAGCACCAATAAAACTTTGTCATTGTATCATGTGTCACAGCTTTAATCTGAAAAGTGTTAAAAAAATAACAACGACCGTTTGAGCCGATCGCCATGGCTTGGCCATAGACAGCAGCGCATCTCGTGCTGCCCTAACCTCACTTGCCGCGTCCTCAAAATAACGGTAACGTCAATTTAACGATCATTTACGGGTTAATAACAATCGAAGTTAACTCTGAACGTGTCTTTGACTATAAGCGAGATAACTTGCTTGCAAGCGGATACGCAGGCCATGGCTATAGGCTCTAACGGTCGTTTCTTTACAAACGTCTTTAACGGACAAGCCAAGGTAAAGGTGTAGCACATGATACAGAGACAAAGTTTTCTACGTGCCGTTCAAAAGCCACTCAAGACAAACCTACCCGCAAGAGCCAGGAGCTCGGCTTCGAAATATCCATCAGAGAAGCTTCCTGAACCAAAGCTCTTCTGCCACTTGACTTTAACATCGCCCTCAGGCAAATCCTTCGATGACTTGGGTAGATATCTCTGGTTGGTCTCAGGCAGCTTCACGGAATCCGTACTAGTAATTCTTCCATTGGTCTCGTCTTTAAATTTAATTACAGAGAAAGAAGTCATCTTGAACACAGAACGCAACGACTTCTCAGATCGCTTCACTCCACTCCGCACCGCTCTGGCGCGACGCGATGAGAGGTCGCTGCAACGGTGCGACGGTGGTGTGAGTGGAGTGAGTTAGTTAGTGCCAACTGGCAATGCATAAATGTTCAATGTAGAATCTGGGGTTCAATGTTTTTGACAAACAAATGCAATATATTTTAATTAATTATTAATTTATAAAAAGTTTTGATTTTTATCAAGTTTCATCCCGGACCTAATTGTTGGTCTTTTTCTTTGTGTTTATTTTGCCTTGGCAGTTGGTACGAGAGGGAATACCCAAATTGATCAAAGTAAGGCTCTCCATTACGTTTTTAATTCTGAGATTTAAAATTTTCAAATTCTGGAATGCAAGTGAGTTCAACTGGGAGCATTGAAAACAAAAATGAGGTTGAAATAATGTAAGTGGTCATAGAAAAAAGGATGTTTACGTAGGAACTGCCAATACCACGAAACTTGCCTGTCAATAACCTTTCCGTGGTGCGATTAGACAAAGCCATCCATCCACCTTTCTGCTTCTGCTCTAGTCCAAGAAAAGCTAGCCAAACTAAATCCATGTATATTAGTTATTTGTCTCGCCCGGTCTCGCCCTGGCGCCAGAACTTTATGTGATATCCAATTATGATTATATTCATCATCGTTGTGAACCTCCTAAGAAAGGTAAAGGTACTATCATTAGATTTTTTTACCCCACCTGAGCCTAGTGTGTTAGGTTAGTTTGCTAATTTTGATCTGTTTGTTTTCTGTCAGGAATCAGAGAGATTCACTGAAAAATGCCGCGCGCTAAGAAAGGCAGACCAAAGCGGTACAAATCTTATAACCATGCTTTTGGAGAGTAAGGGGTATTGAAATGCACGTTTTTTTGAATTCCATACCGGCACACCCGGAAAAGGGTTCATTCCTGCCTAAAACCACCGCAAACCAAATTTGAGACCGATCGAAAAATATTTAGGGGTCGCTACAATGGCTGAAAGTTGTAAATTTGACGTAATTTTAAACAAAATACAACTTTGGAGTATTTGAAGCCCTGCGCATCCGGTGTTAGTCCTAGCTTGTTGCCCCCGGAGACTTTTTTTTCTCGGGATCCAGGCCGACCGAAAGAACCCTACGGGATGCGTTTTTAGCGAATGGTAACGGAACTGGGTCCATTCTACGCTCAAAAAAGTGTTTTTTTCTCCGCTTTTAGTGTTTTAGAGGCCTGCCAAACTTTTGCTTTGCTTCACAAAAAATCTAAACCCATGTATTTTGATAGAAAAAAGGTTGCTCTTTCAAATGGCGGTCACGGAAACAGTCTACGATTTTTGGTTCAGGCTCCAGAGCCGTTTTAAGTTGAAAAATGGATTTTATTTTAGTGAAAATGAGAGCAAATTTTCACTCTTAGTCACGTGCGACGTATGGTTAGGCCACAAGTGCTACCCGGCGAAGTGCAGGCGGTGCGCTGTGATGGGAGAAGCTTCCCGGGTAGAAATGGACGGCTTTTATACTGCTGCTTAATATTTTGTGACCAAAGTAACGCGCAGGCGTTCGAAAAATACCTGGATTATGTTTAGACTGTGTCAGCCTCTTTGCTCCCATTCGTTCACAGCAGGTCGCAGCAGCTCCACGCTATAGACTAGTAGCTGTTATTGCCGCGCGTGATCAACAGAGTTCGCTGGATCGTGACATCATGGGCTTGACCTGGGGCAGGGACCGGCTGAATCCACACCGTCGTGGATACGTAGACAGACCGCTCAGCTGCAATTCTTTTTCAACGATGACGCTCTGGCCCAGCGCCCAGTAGATCCGCTCTTGTCTCGCAAGCGGCAGGTTTGTGGATCGACGCCAGTGGTCTCTCTTTTGCTGCTGCGGCCAGCGATGCGGCAGCTCTTTGCCGATATATTGTCTTTGCCTTCTGGGCATCTTTTTAAGGTCGTTTAAAACGACGTCGGCCGGCCAGAGACTGCCAAAACGTCCACAAAATATCCGAATATTTTGTCGACATCTTGCTGACACAGTCCAAACATAATCCAGGTATTTTTCAAACGCCTGCGCGTTACTTTGGTCATAAAATATTTAGCAGCTGTATAAAAGCCGTCCATTTCTACCCGGGAAGCTTCTCCCATCACAGCGCACCACCTGCACTTCGCCGGGTAGCGCTAGTGGCCAAACCATACGTCGCACGTGACTAAGAGTGAAAATTTGCTCTCATTTTCACTAAAATAAAATCCATTTTTCAACTTAAAACGGCTCTGGAGCCTAAACCAAACATCGTAGACTGTTTCCGTGACCGCCATTTGAAAGAGCAACCTTTTTTCTATCAAAATACATGGGTTTAGATTTTTTGTGAAGCAAAGCAAAAGTTTGGCAGGCCTCTAAAACACTAAAAGCGGAGAAAAAAACACTTTTTTGAGCGTAGAATGGACCCAGTTCCGTTACCATTCGCTAAAAACGCATCCCGTAGGGTTCTTTCGGTCGGCCTGGATCCCGAGAAAAAAAAGTCTCCGGGGGCAACAAGCTAGGACTAACACCGGATGCGCAGGGCTTCAAATACTCCAAAGTTGTATTTTGTTTAAAATTACGTCAAATTTACAACTTTCAGCCATTGTAGCGACCCCTAAATATTTTTCGATCGGTCTCAAATTTGGTTTGCGGTGGTTTTAGGCAGGAATGAACCCTTTTCCGGGTGTGCCGGTATGGAATTCAAAAAAACGTGCATTTCAATACCCCTTATTGGAGAGGAGGATGTTGAGTATGAAATCCCTGAATCAACATTGCGTTCCCAGAATAGTAGAAAAAGGAAAAGGGACGATGACTCTTCCAGCAATTCGGTAAGTTCATGTTCTTTTAAGGATAATCAAGTTATTTATAAGGAGACTATGGAGCTATCTATCAGAGTGAAATCAATCCTCACATTATTGTTCCCATTTTAGACAGATGGAGAGAATGAAGTTCATGATGATGATGCTGCAAATGCTGCACGATTTGACTGCGAGAACATGGATGAATTCGCTGAAGAAGTTGAGGTTGACCACCATTTAAACCACCAGTCAAGTGAGGTGATAAAATTAAATTTAATTTCTTGTTTAGTTCTAGTGTGTGCATTTCATTTCATTTAAAAAAAAACAAATTCCAGTCAAACAGCGAACCTGAATCGGATTGTGATGGAAGTACTAGTGCACATTCCGAAGGCAGCCAGATGGATTGTATCTCAGGAGAGGAAAATAGTAGCTCAGAGTCTGAATATCTCAACTTCCATCACCAAACCAATAAGGTAATTAAAACTGCAATGGGTTTCTTGTTATTTCTATATAATAAGGTGCTCCTACAATGATGTCACCAAACTCGTAGCAAATCTAATTTTCACTCCACGCTAAAGTTGCACCTTGTTAGTGTTTCATTGGTGAGACCTGGTTGGCCAAATGGCTGCTCACTTTAATCAAAATGTTATTCAATCTTGGAGAGAAAATTATTCCACATCCCCTTATACTTTTTGTAGTGTTTTCATTACCTCACTCATGATAATGTTGCAATAAAAGGACTTGTGAAATTAAGTTATTTTAATGAGGAAATTATGTTTTTGTTACATTGTCCTAAATGTGGTCATGAAAAGACTAAAAAAAAAGTATTAGGGGATGTGGTCAAATGTTCTCTACAAATCTGAATAAGATTTCAATCACAGAAAGCACCCATTTGGGCTAACAGACCTCGCCAATGAAACAAATATAAGATGCATCTTAAGTGTGAAGTTTGAGTTCATTTTGGGAGCACCTCAACTCTCTTTTAATTTATATCTTGAATTCCAGGCCAATAGTGAATCTACATCAAATGGTGATATTCAACAATCTGAGACCAGTTCTTTCGATGACCAGCTAGAAGGAGTTGGCTCACAGAATGGACATCAAAACTGGGACCATCAATCTAGTGAGGTAATGAAACTAAATTTTATTTCTTGTTTAATTTTATTGTGTGCATTTCCTTTTATTTAAGAAAAATAAAATTCCAGGCAGACAACGAACTTGAATTGGATTGTGATGGAAGCAATAGTGTACATTCAGAAGGCAGCCAGGTGGATTGTAACTCAGGAGAAGAAAATAGTAGCTCAGAGTCTGAATATCTCAACTTCAATCGCCAAACTAATGAGGTAATTAAAACTGCAATGGATTTCTTGTTTTCATTTCAGGGTAATGACTCTCTTGTAATTTTTGTCTTAAATTCCAGGCCAATTGCGAATCTACATCAAATGGCAATGAAAGTGATGGTCAGCATTCTGAGACCAGTTCTTCAGATGATCCGCTGGAAGGTGTTGGCTCACAGAATGGACATCAAAACTGGGACCATCAATCTAGTGAGGTAATTTGTGTTTATGTGTAACTTTTTTTTTACTCAAAATGTATTTACTTCACAGTCACACATATTTTTTACTTTTAAAAACTTGCTCAACTTAACTGAATTAATTGCAATTCACATAAGTACAATTTATTATAACATAAGATAAGGTAAAACAGGCCAAATGAGCACCCCGGTAAAGATTTTACTTTGTATGACAAAGAGCGCTACCTGTTATTGAACTTCACAGTTTCTGTTGCAGGCAAACAGTGGATATGAATATGACGATACCAGTGACGATACACATTCTCACAGCCAGAACCAGCATGATGCAGGAGGTGGCTCAGGGAATGAACATTCCAGCTCCACTCATCAAACTACCCCGGTAATAATTAGAAATGATTGTCATCTTTCATGTGTCTTCTTTTGTGGTATTACAACACACTTTTCTTTATTCCAGACAAATAGTGATAATGAATCGGATCACTATGAAGATGGTGGTGGGCTCTCAGAAAGCGCCCAATCATCTGACCAACAAGAAGGAGATGAAGATGGAGGCCTTCAAGACTCAGGAAATGAACATGAACAGGATGAAAATGGTGGTTTTCATTATATCGAACCCTTCAGGAAACTCAAGGCAAAACTACAGGAAGAATTTCAGAATCCACTGAACAAAACAGTGAACTTAACTGTTGGAGAAATTTTAACAAATGCTTTGACCCTGGTAAAGAAACACAACTGGAATCACACTGAGAAAGAAGACTTAATGAAGTTTGTGAATTCTCTTTTTGATTCAAATGTTGTTCCTGGTACACGATACCTCTTAGATCAGTACTTTTATTCAAAGGAAGGAATGAGATATCATTTTTTTTGCTCTGCATGTACCAAAATGTTACTTAGTACACCTGCTGCTACCCACTCAGAAACCCAGATTGTTTGTCCGAATCCTTCATGCTTAAAAGTTAACTGCATTTCTGACCTACAAAAAGCCTCTTTCTTTGTAACATTTGATTTACCTTACCAATTAAAACTTTTGTTGGATAATCCTTCTATCCGCAGCAAAGTTGTTAATCCTATTGATTTTAAATCAGAGCCAGAAGACAAAGTTATGAGAGATTTGTACCATGGTTCATCATATAGATCATTTGCTAACTATGTGCATAATCTCTCCGATACTGCAACAAAGTTTTTGTCCCTGTCCCTGTCTGTTGATAGTGCAGCATTATGTAGTGGTTTCAGTGGCCAATCAATTTGTCCATGCTTCATCATGTTGAATGAGCTACCCCCTGTGATAAGAAGCAAACATTTGTTAATAGCTGGACTGTGGTTTGGAGTGGAAAAGGAGAAACTAGATTTATTCCTTCCTCCAATTGTAAAGCATTTAACTGAGCTTAGTTCTCCAGGATTTTCTTTACACTTCAGAGATGTGACATGGAATGTAAAAGCTTTCTTGATTGCTTGTATTGCAGACTCCGTTGCTCGTTGTGATGTTCAGGGTATCCATGCACATAGAGGTGATTTTCCATGTAGCTGGTGTTTATGTGAAGGAGAAGAATATGTGTCTTGTCGCATATTTCCGTATACTGAAATTTTACCTCCGCCAAGAACCATTGAAGAGCTGCTCCAAGATTCAAGGCAAGCTGAAAGGGAAAACAGATTTGTTCGAGGAGTAAAATATATGTGTCTTTTAGCGGCAGCTCCCATGTTTCATCCTGTGCATGGTTTTATCTGTGACCAAATGCATGCAAAGGATGAGGGCACAACAAAAGCATTTCTGAACTCTTGGTTGGGAGAGGATGGGAAAACTCCTTATTACCTTGGACAGCCTAACATCAGGAAGATCAACCGCCTTCTAACTCAGGTCAAGATTCCGAGAGAACTACGGAAAGGTGTTAGGACCTTAAAACATCTAAGCTACTTCACTGGAAGAGAGTTGGAAAACTGGTCGTTTTTCCTAAGCCTTGCTGTGCTACCAGGTAGTTTGCCTGATAGGTTTCTGAAGCACTGGGGACTGTATGTGCAGGGAACATACCTCCTCCTTCTCTCAGCAATACACTCAGATGTTGTGAACCTTGGTGAAGACTTACTTGAAGAGTTTTGCCGTAAAACTAAAGGTCTCTATGGTCGCCATATGATGCGGTTTAATTTGCACATCCTTCGCCATTTTGCTGAAAATTGTAGGCGATGGGGCCCACTGTTTGCACTTTCAGCATATGCATGTGAAGCAGGTAACCAGCGAATAAAAAATCAGGTCCATGACTGCAATGGAGTTCCAAGCCAAATTTGCCGTGGAGTCTCTGAAGATAATGCATTATCTCTACTGAAAGATTCCTGTGATAGTGAAATGACTCGTTCTTTTGCCAAGTCTATTGAACCTAAGAGCCATGTGAACAGAGTTGAATTGGTTGGAAAAATAGAACTTAAAGGATTTCCTAAGGCTTTTAAAGCATCTGAAGAGGAAAAGTGGCATTTCAATGAACTTCAAGTAAATTTGTTGGATTGCGTTGAATTTCCACTTCTAAAGAAGGACGGCTGTCATTTTGGACCAGGCTCTTCACATCGGCAGTCAAAGACTGACAACTCCTACGCCAAGTTGCAAAATACAAATATTGTGCATATTGCAAAAATAATCTTCAATGAGAGAACCAAAGATATTTGGATTGTAGGAAATAGGGTAAGATGTGAACCTTCTCCTTACTGCCCCTTGAAAGTTGTAAGATATGATTGTAGTTTATGCTGTCAGTATGTTCTTAACTCAATTGATGAGGATATAATTGTTTTTGATGTAAATGAACTTTCTACTGTTTGTGTTAGTTTGCCATTTGAGCATGGTCATTATATCACACCAATGCCCAACATTTTTAACATGTATTGAAAGTAAGATGAGCATTATGTCTTCACCATCAAGAAAACTTTTTGTGATACTCTATTTTTAAGTAGTTATGTAAAATGCTCAAGCCAAAATGCTGTGACTGAAAGGAAAGAAATTCATTGACTGATTGTTTTATTCAGCATTTTAAAAAAGTACTCAGAATAAACACAAAAATAATATTACTTAATAAGACTAATAATGATTTATCATTCATAATGGCGGCTACTAAAAACAGGACAGCACATCTCCCTCAACATTGTGACACCTCCCACAAATGGCCATTAAAGTTAACTTGTTTACACTCTTTTTTTTCCTCTCTTATCACAAGCCATCCCAGCACTTGAAAAATGTGATAGGGCACTATCTACCCAGGAATCACATATACTCAGGGTACTCTTAAACATTGTTTTACAAACCCTCTTACGGGCTCCACAAACAAAAAAATGATAAGTCCTGCTGGACAATTTCTCACCCTTGGCCCCAGGAGCAGAAGTTTTATTTTTGGGCGCATTACAAGATACTACATTTTTTATGAATATCCACTGTTTCACATGGTCTTTCAAAGCCCAAAACTCATTGTATATTTCAAGTCTCTCACTGTGGCTTAATTTTGGTATCGTACACCGCTTGCAGGAGTCTTTGCAGGATGGCTTGAGGGAACGAGCTTTCTTGAGGGTCCCCTTGATTGTAATATGTTCTATGCCTGCATTTAAAGCAAATTTTGCTGCCAAAATTTTACTTTGGGAAGGGTAGAGAAGTTTCACGTCACATGTAGTATCACCACAGTTAGAAAGATTTGGTGTTGCTCTAAAGTCATCTGTAAGCAAGACAAAGTTCAATTATCAATATAGATGAAGAGATTTGATGACAGAAAATAACAAGATTGTAATTCTTGATTTCACTGACCAGATTTTTTAAAATCTAAACCTGTAGATTGGTTTGTTAATTCCTGAATACAACTGATCCCAGATACAACCTCACAGCGAGGAGAAAGGACTTCAGCGACATCTAAAAAATACACTTAGGTTAAAATAACAGCGTAGGCACCAGAATGTTTTCAGACGAAGCAACAGAAATTTACTAACCTGATCGGTTTGGTAGACACTTTCTGTCATTGACTGCTGAGAGAAGTTTGGATGCAGCAGGAGAAGACCCCCATGGAATATTGTCATTGGGCGTCAAACAAAGTTTCGAAGCAGTAACTGGAGTCTTGTCTAAAATGTTATCTTTGGATGTTAAGGGAAGCTTTGATGGATTAGGTGAAGTCTCACATGGAATGATATCTGCAACTGAAAGAAGCCAGTGTTTACATTGATAAGAGGCAAGAAGAAATTAATCTAAAATTAAAATAGAAAACAAAGTTTTTTGTTGTTTTTCTATTTGACAGAAACAGTCAACACATCAGATCTTTACTGAAATTTCAAAACAGGCACTTTTGGTAAAGCGAATGCAAATATTACCCTTCACTGGAGAGAAACATAATTTTCTTTTGACTGAATTGACGTTCTTTTCAGAAGGAAAGTTACTTGGGTGGCAGGGTTGGACGATGTCCGAAGCTTCAAAAACATTGTCCCACCAGGATGATACAGGAGCTGTGACCAAAGGAAACCAATCAGGAATTTAGGGATACATTGTTTTTCAGCAAATGGACCAAAGAGTACTGACTGAAAGCAAAGGCTGATGCAAGAGTTAAATAACTTAAAAAATGGGGCACAGGTTAAAGCATTGGAAACAATATTGAAAATCTTGATGAAATAATAGAGCAAAGCTGGTGTGAATTTCAATAAAAGAGGAATTTAACTTACATATTGTAGAGCAACTGGGCATAGGAGATGACAATTTAAAGGTAGGCGATGATTCATTATTACATAGGGCTACTAGGTTAACAGCTCTTTTAGAGCACAAACTACTTCTCAGTGGCATGGCAGCTGATTGAAAAGAAGTTGTGATTTCAGTTTTCACCTGCACAACTCAAACTTTTGTCAATAACTTGAGGTAGATTTTACGGTCATGTTCACATATGATCAGAATAATACAGTACAGCAGCAACAAGATTTCTAGTTGATAGGATTCTATAGAGAGGCTCTCATTGGGAGAAAAAGTTGATCGGTTTCATAACTGACTTCTCATTGGTCGACGACTTGATCGGATTCATTAGTAAGCGTTTTATTGGTGGATTCGTCGATTTTTGTAACGTGAATTAGTTTCACCTCCTTAACTTAGTTTTGTGCGAAATCCTGTAATTTAGGTAGAAGAATACCTCGATATAGCCTTGTGACACGGCCGAAGCTGTGCCTCGCGATGCAATCGAGACCAAGGCTAGCTCATCGTCTGCTAGAAGGGAGAGGGGGGGGGGGGGGGGGGGGGGGGCAGGCGGCAGATGCGCCACGGCGGGCGCGGCACGCATGTCTAAGGTGTTGCCTACCGCGTCGGCGCTCGGCGGCGTCCGGTAGTCGGCCGCGTGTGATCAGAGGTGTGATCAGAAAACAAAACCATGAACATATCAAAACCAATCAGGAAATATGTCCATAGAGATGCTTCAGAGCGAACCAGTCAGACTATGCCTGTTCAAAAATCAGACTTCAGAGAGCCACTCAGGGACTGTTCTGACTGCCCATTAGAACTCAGAAATAGTTTCTGATTGACAATCAGAACTCAGAAAGAATTCCTGATTGGCAATCAGAAATCAGAAAAAATTCCTGATTGGCAATCAGAAATCAGAAATAAATCCTGATTGGCAATCAGAAATCAGAAAATAAATCAGAAAAAACCTGATTTCTGATTGGAAATCAGAAATTCAATCAGGAAATCCTGATGGCATTTACACCAGTGCAGAGATTAGGGTGGATCTTAATTTCTGACCTCCCGTTTTTATTGGCGAAATGGGGTCCCTAGGATAGTGGAAGATCATTAACGAGTCGCATTTGATCCGGAAAAAATTGTATTAGCTTTAGGAGAGGGCTCAAAACTGGGTCAAAACGCCAAAATTGGTGGTTTTTTAAGTATTGCCGCCGAACCAGATGAGATATCAAAACGCCTGAGGTCTAAAAAGATGCGGAATTTAATTACCTTTCCAACGAGCTATGAATCATTGTTGCAGCACATATATTTTCACATGAATCATTGAATTTTATGCAGAAAAGTGGGGCCAAAAATATCAAAATCAGTCCAATTTTGGTAGGGTGAAGTTCTAAAATTGGCCGAATCGACATCTCTTTATAGAAATGGATGGGTCTCAACATGACAAACAAAAAATGTCAACACATGCCATGGGCTAAGATGCGAAATGAAGCAGTAATTTAGCCTCAAAAGTGCCAAAAATCACCCTTTTTCCATCAAAAGGGCCAGCCGGCTATCCGAAACTTGACCAAACTTGGTTTCCAAGTGAGTCGGGACCACCTTAACTTAAATCTGAAAGGAGAAGTCCCGGAGGTTCGTGGCCAGAGCTCCTTTGACCTCGAAAAATCACGCTAAATGTCCTTTTTGGTGGAAAAACGAAGATTTTTGGCACTTTTGGGGCTAAAATACCGCTTTATTTCGCATCTTAGCCTATGGCATGTGTTGACATTTTTTGTTTGTCTTGTTGAGACCTATCCATTTCTATAAAGAGATGTCGATTCGGCTTATTTTAGAACTTCACCCTACCAAAATTGGACTGATTTTGATATTTTTGGCCCCACTTTTCTGCATAAAATTCAATGATTCATGTGAAAATATATGTGCTGCAACAATGATTCATAGCTCGTTGGAAAGGTAATTAAATTCCGCATCTTTTTAGACCTCAGGCGTTTTGATATCTCATCTGGTTCGGCGGCAATACTTAAAAAAACACCAATTTTGGCGTTTTGACCCAGTTTTGAGCCCTCTCCTAAAGCTGATACAGTTTTTTCCGGATCAAATGCGACTCGTTATTGATCTTCTACTATCCTAGGGACCCCATTTCGCCAATAAAAACGGGGGGGGGGTCAGAAATTAAGATCCACCCTACTCATGAATAACCTTGAATAGCCTTGAATAACCATTGCTCTCGTCTTCTGCCGCGCTTCAATCGGACTCTCTGCGGAAACCAAATAAAGCCGAAGTAAAGACGAAACCATGACTCTGGCTCCGAACCGGGGAGTGCCGCAGCGCCACAGCGCACAGAAGGGATGACGCAAGACCGATGTTGCTGGCGCACCAAGGCTGCAAGCGTGGATTCGGGGGGTGGGGGCAGTGGGGTTTTTGCCCCTCATAGCCACTAGAAAGCCTTCTGAAAGGCAGGCAAAAAGTGCTCCTTTGCCCTGCAAGTAGGCGAAAAGGGCTACTTTTCCCCCTCCCCCTTTCCATAGGCCGCCTCTGGATCCGCCACTGCAAGGCCGGGGACCCGTGCAGAGGGTGCCCAGGCCGAGGGCAGCGCATGGTGCGCAACGACATCGCCGCGGTGACCTCGGAAACTTGTTCTGAATGCCCGGTACACCCGGTACGATGATACGCATGCGGCAAAGTCGACTCCACCTCGGAGGGTCGAAGTGATACAAAAGTTGTGTCACCGTGCCGCATGAGGCAAATAAAAGGGCCAACGCCCCACTGCCCTCGTGGTGCACGCCCTGCCGCACCCTTGCCGTCGGCCACCACCACAAGGTCGTTTGGTTCCTGTCCCAGTGACATCCGCACTGCCTGCCACAGTGTGTCGTCAGCAATCGAAGAGTGTGTTACTGCTAGGAGAAAACTAAGGAATACCTGTGATAGTCTCATTTCCAAAGGCGGATCCAGAGGCGTGATCGGGAGGATGTCGCAGAAGTTGCCTACCTACCTACAGGGGCTAAGTGTGACTTGTTGCCTACCTTTCAGCCGCCGCCCCCTCTCCCCCCCCCCCTCCAACCGGATCCGCGTCTGCTCATTTCACATGACAGATTTTGTTTGGATTTCTCGATTTCTTGATACCGACGATACCCTCCTCACTCATGAAAGTCTCTCCTTGCGAAGTTGCGACGCAGTTGTTGGAACTCACCGCACCGTTCCTGGGGTGCTGGCGTCGAGTAGCGTGTAACGCTGTAATTCTCATCCGTCTGCCGGACACAGTTTTAGCCTCGCAGCTAGGAGCCATAGAGGACAACTTCGAATTTCTCATACGTCTCGCGAATAGGTAGCCTCGTCAGGAGGGTCTCGTTTTGTGTAGCGAACCTGAAACATCTGCCTGGTCGCCCATCATACCAGCAGCTGCTTAACCTCAGTCTCCCTGCAGACCGGCCTATATATTTTTTAATTTATTTATTTTTAATTTTACTTTTAAATTAATTAAAATCACAAATTAAAACTCTTTTACAATTAAATTAACGCAAATAAAAAATAAAAATAATTAAAAATTGGTTTAATTTTTATTTTCGGCCGATCGTGCATGGTAGAGTTGAGCCCATCTCTAAAATATCACATACTTTGGTACAACAAGTAATTTCAAAAAGCACTCGAGTAGAACATTTCTATGAAAATCACACTAAATGGAAGTGTTCATACCAATAATTACGTTAGCCCAAAAACAAATTCATAAAAAAGGCTCTATCTTGCTGTTTCCTCTTCTTGCTCACAGATCACTGGAAATTATCAAAATATGATACTTTGCCGGCAAATAGAAACATTGCCGTTCCCCCCCTTACCCATCGACATCACTGTCTTCTGATTCCGGTTCCATGATATCTTGAAGCGATTGGTCCACGGCAAATGAACCATCCTGGTTTGCTCCAAGAAGCATAGGCATTACGCTGCTCTTGAGCACACCTTTTGGAGAGGGGGCCTTTCTGAGTGCTGCTATGATTGGGTCCGTACGCACCAAAAGGCCATAGAAGAGATCGGACATAGTAGCATCCCTTCCGGTTTTCCTGCTGTGGTGCTCCCCCAGATACCTAATGTCCTTATGGCAAGACTCTAAAGCTTCCTCTGGAACAGGAAAAAGGAGAAATGTGCATACTGACTCAAAACTAACAATGTTAACAGAAAAATAATTTTTTTCGTTACCAGAAAGAATGCCGATTGGGACAGGAAAAGTGCGCATGTACGCAGCACCGTGAAGTAGGGTTGCATGCACAGCTTGTGGCATGTAGTAAAAGCCATACTCCCTAACCAAGTCCCTGGCGGTTTGGATGCTGTATTGTTCAAAAACGGCCGTATCAACCACGTAGCGCTTGACAAGGCCCTGAGAACAACATTCATGCGCTGCAGAATGTCGAGGTCAAACCCGGTAATTGATGAAGTCAAAAAAAAAAACCACTATAATACACATTTTGAAATTTTAGGAACCTTGCCACATATCTAAAGGAATCTTACTTGCACCGCGTCCTCAAAGACTCTCCTTGCAACATTTCCTGTGTTGTATTGCCCCCGCTAGTAGAAGGGCGGTCCACCAGAAGGCCCATTTCACACTGAAAAGACATACACAAAAATTATAAAATGTTTGAAAATTAATGAGTTTTACCTAGTGTTGTAAAGCGGCTTCGGTAGTGAGGAGGAGATCAGTAAGGACAAGGATAGATTCAGTAAATCAGTAGTTTATTGCAGAAAGCTCGATGGTAGCGTAGCGCGGAACGAGAGACCTAGAGCAGCTCCTGCCTCTAGCTCGGCTAGTACTCGAATGCCTTGCTGACTCGGCGCGGCGCGGGGGGCTCGGGCTTCGCGCCCTAAGTTCGGCAGCCCTTCGGCTTCGGGCCCGAAGCCGAAGGCGTAGTTCGCCCGGCGGCCGCAGGAGCGCAGCACTCCGCAGGCGGACTGCGGGCTCTGCCTTTAGCGGGCCGCCGTGACTGCCAACAACGGCCTATTT